GCTCACCTTATCACTACCCATGAACCTCCCAAGTTGACAACAACCCTAAACCCAAATTCTAAACCCTAAACCCTAAACCCTAAACCCCAAACCCTAGACCCTAAGCCCTAAGCCCTAAACCCTACCCCCCCCCCCCCCCCTGAAATTTAAAGTTGACCGGGAGGCGGGGGCTCTGCATGTTGAGCAGCTCCTCACGCACTTGCTGGAGCTCGTACTCCTTCACACAGAGCTGGCCTCCTAAACCCTAAACCCTAAACCCTAAACCCTAAACCCTAAACCCTAAACCCTAAACCCTAAACCCTGAACCCTGAACCCTGAACCCTGAACCCTGAACCCTGAACCCTGAACCCTAAACCCTAAACAAACGAAACAGGAAAGCGTTCAGCACCGCCAAGCCGGTAACACCAGGTTTACGTAGAAGCTCTTGTGGCTTAGTATTAGTGAGTCTGCTCATCGCATCCCCCTGGAATTCCTACCATAATCCCCATATCCCACCTTACTAACCACTGCATGCGAAGTCAAAAGGGCTTCCAAGCCAAGGTTAATCCCCAAAACCCTAAACCCCAAGCCCTAAACCCTAAAACCCTAAAATCCTAAACCCTAGAGCCTTTAGGCCCTGGACGCCACGTTGCTGGCCTTCATCTTCTCTGCCTGCTCCTGCGCATCGAGCAATCGCTTGAGCTTGTGCGCGTGCATCACAAACCTCGGATTTGCTGCCGAGCCCACTTGGAGTTTCCAAGGGTTTAGGGTTTAGGGTTTAGGGTTTAGGGTAAGGTACTTCTAAACCCAACAAGCACAAGCCCATAAAATTTAGGGCTCAAAAGGGTTGAGGGTGCAGGACTGAAAAAAAACTCAGACGGTCCTAAACCCCCTTTTGGGAACCCGAAAGACTTAACTGCTAAGCCCGGCTGCAGCGTCTATAAGTCCTACTCGGACCGAAGCCCCATGGAGCCTTGTCGTTCTCTTTGGCTGCGATAGCAATGGTGGCTTGAAAGCTCATGAAGTTCGTTCAGATCATGAGAGAAGGCCTAAATGGAAATCTTAGTGTTCCTTTATGTTCCTTTCATGGGCATATATAGCTGATAGCTTGACCCGACCAGACCACCATGAAGCACCGCAAAGCTCGTGACAGCGTCCTTTACGGTAAACTCCTCAGCTGCTGTTTCCCTTGGCTGACAACTTCTGAACCCCTCCTGAAAATTTAACTTTTAGGCTCCGTATTGTAGTTTCTTCAACAACCCAAAAGGTTAAAGTCCTAAGAGCCAGCCAGACGAAGGCCAAGGTCCAGCGATGCAAAAAGCCCTAAACCCTAAACCCTAAACCCTAAACCAACAAGAACCGAACAGCAGACCGTGCATCTCCTCCATCTGGTCATCAAGGACCTCCCGAGGTGGGAAGCGGACAGAGTTTAGGAACCCTAAAAGGGTTTACGGTTCATATGCCTTAATTGGAGATATAAAGCCTTATAGTAAAACAAGGTATATGCCCCCAATTGAAGGGTTCATGTGGTCCTCAGGCTCTAAGCGGATAGTGCTTGTGTGTGTGTACCTCAGTATTATATACCTGGGCCCCAAAGCCCATAGGAAGTGCTCACCATGTAGGTGCATGGACCCTTAGCGCTACACATCCAAGCAAGAGAGCCCTGAACTTGTATCCCATTGGTCTTGCATCCCAGCCTGTCTCATGGCCGTGACCGAAGACTTCGGCACTCGCCGCACTTCCCTGTTCTGCGACGGGGCAATCTCTTGCCTCGCGAAGTGTAGTCTGGTTCAGTCAGGTCAGGGCACCCAATGCCCCCCCCGAAGCAGGCGTGGGTTTTCTGGAAACATGCAACCCGACCATCCTTGCTGTAGCATGCCACTGCGAAAGCACACGCCCTAAACCCTAAACCCTAAACCCTAAACCCTAAACCCTAAACCCTAAACCCTAAACCCTAAACCCTAAACCCTAAACCCTAAACCGCAACAGGGCTAATCATCTCCGAGGCGCAGAATTCGAGCCTCTCAGGCAAGCAACGCTCGGTGTGAAGGTGGCAGGGTGCAACAGGGGCCCGGGAGGTAAATGTTGTTTAGGGTTTAGGGTTTAGGGTTTAGGGTTTAGGGTTTAGGGTTTAGGGTTTAGGGTTTAGGGGTTACAGGGTTTAGGGTTTCCGAAAATTGGGGTTTCTTGGGATGTTCCCCCTTATACTAACAGCCCTTAATCGGGATTCATCGGGATTATAATAGGGGGGGACTATAATCCCCATTAAGGACTGTTGTAGAAGGGGGAACATCCCAAGGGGTACCCCTTAGATCACAATACTATATAGTTCTTTTTCAAAGGAGCCCCAAAGAGGTACCCCGATGTTCGGAAACCCCCATTTCGAAGGGCCCCAATATGGCTTGCGCGTAGTATAGCTTCAAGGTCATAGGTCCACGGACCCCAAAACCTGAACCCTACACCCATAAATATTCATCGGGCCCCTCTCTGTATACCCGGCTTATAAGTCCTAAACCCTAAACCCTGAACCCTGAACCCTGAACCCTGAACCCTAAACCCTAAACCCTAAACCCTAAACCCTAAACCCTAAACCCTAAACCCTAAACCCTAAACCCTAAACCCTAAACCCTAAACCCTGACCCGTGTTTAAGGGTGGGTTTGATGGCCAACTCAGACAATGCCAGGGCAGGGTTGACAGTCAAGGTGTCTGTGAGGCTCGGCTTCACATGTAGGGCTAGTCCTCAACCCTAAACCCTAGACCCTAAGCCAAGGGTTTAGGGGTACCTTAGGGCTTACCATGTAGAACAACAGCCACCCCCCCCCCCCCAAAAAAAAAAAAAAAAAAGAGGAAGATTGAACATGCAAGTTGTCAGGATCCGATCGCCTAGCAGCTGATGTAGTAAGCTCATGGATCTCAGATGAAAGAAGACGCCTGGATGTAATCTGTCTTCCAAAAGCCTTCGGTATTCAGAGTTGCGCAGCCGCGGGCATGGAGCTCATACATGTGCCTTAGGGTTTAGGGCTTAGGGTTGAGGGTTTAGGGTTTAGGGTTTGGGGTTTAGGGTTGAGGGTAGGGGGCTAACCCACCACCCCTTCTGGAAGCGGCCCTCTCGACCGGTCTTAGCATTGCAAGGTGATAGCACTGCTGTGTTGTACCCCTACACCCTAGACCCTAAACCCTAAACCCTAAACCCTTTACCCTAAACCTGCCTTCTCGCTCCTCTTGGAGTTTTTGATTCCACCAAGCAAGCTCCGCCCATCGCCATCGCTGGCCTGATCGGAGGCTTCGGGGCGAAAGGCTGCGCCAACTCTACCCTAGTTGAGCTTGCAAGCCAGCCCTAAACCCTCATCCCTAAACCCTAAACCCTAAACCGCACCCTTCAGTGATGAACAGCACGTTATAGCAACGGGACTAAAGTCACCCTGGATGAACTGAATGGGCACTCCCAGTCTGAAAAGCACAACGGAAGTCGGCTTCCCAATTCATCTCCAAACCAAACCTTCCAGCGAAGGCTAGTGGCTTAGGGGTCAGGGTTAGGGGGTCTAGGGTTTAGGGATTTAGGGTTTGAGCAACTTGCGTAAAGCAGCCCCTTTCTTTGCAGCAGGCTTTACGCAAGCCCTTTTTGTGCAGTAGGCTTCTGAAGACTCTCGTGTAGTCGGTGAGCAGTGCGGTTGACTGAACCCGGCCACGTGAGACAGCCCTGCACCCTAGACAACGTGCAAGCTTTAGCACTTAAGGGGCCTGTAGAGATGTTTACATTTGAACGGTTTAGGGTTTACTGCTGCGGGTGAACAAGCTCTACAAGGAGGGGCCCCCTTGCTATGCTAACTATAGCTAAGTGACTTATAACCTAAGTTAGGATCCTTATAACCAAACTTAGGATCCTATAACTCTACTTATAACTAGGGGGGCCCCTCCTTGTAGAGATGTTTAAGCATACGCGGTATACCAGCCAGGGCGGCAGCCCTACTCAGGTTAGGACCCGAGGCTAATTAGGAGTCATGGGGTTTCCAATGACCTCGGCCCAATCCGATTTAGAAGTTATAAACCCTGAGCCCTTAACTCAAAAGGCTTCTACTAAGGGTCCATGTACCCAAAAAGGGAACACCTTGGGCCTTAAAGTACCTCCTATACAGGGCCTTTGGGGCCCAAGCATAAAAAAAAAAAAAAAAAAAACTAAACCCTAAATCCTAAAACCCTAGACCCTAAACCCTTAACTCTTAAGTCTTCTAACGCCTCACGCAGTTCGGACAAGGCACTCGATTGGACCTGTCCCCCATGGCCGCAGCAGAGGGAAGGCGCCAGGCCCAAGCAACTCGATCACAAACTTCGTGGCACAGAACTACTGTTTGCTTAACAACCCCCAAAGAATAAAAAAAAAAAACTCCCTATATTACCATTCATAAGGAAGAATGTTTATACTTTTTGGGGGGTTTCTTAAGCAATTAGTAGAGAATGAGGGCTTTGGGCTTTTTTGCGGCTTAGGGTTTAGGGTTGGGCTGTTCCCCCTGGTACTAACAGCTCCTTAATAGGGATTAGAATAAGGGACCCTAAACCCTAAACCCTAAACCCTAAACCCTAAACCCTAAACCCTAAACCCTAAACCCTTTAGAATAAGGGGTACTAGAACCCCTATGAAGGACTGTGAGTATAAGGGGAACATCCCCAAGGTTCGGAGTTTAGGGTTTAGGGGTTCTGGGTGCAAGAGTGTAGAGTTAAAACTGCTAGTATAAGGGGGGACATCCCGAGGTTCTAAACCCTAAACCCTAAACCCTAAACCCTAAACCCTAAACCCTAAACCCTAAACCCTAAACCCTAACCCTAAACCCTAAACCCTAAACCCTACACCCTACACCCTACACCCTAAACCCTAAACCCTAAACCCTAAACCCTAAGCCCTAAACCCTAAACCCTAAACCCTAAACCCAAACTAATGATCCTAACTTACAAGCAAGGGCCGCCCCTAGCTAGAAGTAGAGTTCTAAGAACCCTAAGCTGCCAAGTATTCCGAGATCGGTACCTCGTCACCTGATGCTGGGCCGCCGCAAGCAAGTCCAGTGCCTAGGCGAGACAAACATGACATGGTAGTCAGCACAGGGAATTAAGAAAGCTAAGCTATAAACCAACCCTAAGCCACCGCCTTGAGAATGATGAGCATCGAGCCCCTAGTGCCCCATACTCTGAACCCCGAAAGGCCTCAACCCCAGCGCCTGAACCCTAAAACCCTATCTGGAAGCCTAACCGCAAGCCTGCAAAACCCAATGTTAACTCAGAACCCTGCGTGAAAGCCTAAGCGCGAAACCCTGCACAAAAAAAAAAAAAAAAAAACTGTCGTTCGAGGTCATGATGTTTTACGATTATATGGTAGATGCTACTAGTTGTGTTGCTATTGCTGCTATTGTTTGTTTTCACTGGGTCCTGCTACATGGTGTGAGAGGGGCCCATTAAGAGACTCCTGCTCAGAACAACCCGCCCCTGCGGAAGTCAGAAGCATCACAAAGATACGAAAACGGCAGCAACAAACCCAAAACCCAAAATCCAAAACCCGAAGCCCGAAACCCTAAAACCCTCAACCCCGAAACCCTAAACCCCAAACAGATTTCAATGTGCTGGTTGGCCTCCGAAGACCGAACCCAAACTCTGCCTGTCTTGAAACTGGACTTGTGCCTTGGGATGCTCCCCCTTATACGAACCCAAAACCCCCCCGCATTTGCTTAAGAACCCGCCCCCCCCCCCCCCCCCCCAAAGATAATTGATGTTTGTGGCCCCCCCCCCCCCCCCCCAACAAAAAAAAAAAAGTGGGTTCTTAGCAAAGGGTAGGAAAGAGTAGGAATCTGAGCCCGCAGCGGCCGCTTGCGCAGAACTGCCTCGCAGGCCATCCGCCTTGGCGGCGGGTTGAGGGTTTGAGGATTGAGGGTTTGTGGGTTTAGGGGTTTAGGGTTGGGATGTTCCCCCCTTATGCTAACAGTCCTCAATAGGTCTTATAATACCCTATGAAGGAATGATAGTATAAGAGGGAACAGGGTTTTAGGGTGTAGGGTTTTTGGGGTTAGGTGTGGGGGGCTGAGGGGGGCATGGGGAGGGCGAGTTAGGGGTTTCCTGTTTTTTGAAGGGATTAGCGGTTTGCTTTTGGGCTTGGGTTAGTGAGTGACAATTAGGGAATTCAGTTTAGGGTGTCTGCTCAGGAGTCTGTGGGTATTCCATCCCCCGACATATGGAGCATAGAACTATTAATAGCGATCATGTGAATATTTAGGGGGTTCTGGGACCACTTACACGATAAGCAAGCCTATTAGCCTTTTCAGGGGTTGAGGGATTCGTTATGGGATCCTGCACTACCCCTCCCTACCCCCCCCCCCCCCCCCCCCCCCCAACCCTAACCACAAACCTAAACCCTAGTCACAAGCTTCGCACTCCGACCCTGACATGACATGAACATGACCACACACACAAAATCCCACCCCCCCCCCCCCCCGGCTGAGGAGTTCTCAGATGCCTAGGCCATCGCTCGCAGAGCCCTAAACCCTAAACCCTAAACCCTATTGACCCTAAACTTTATTTACCTTCACCCTCCCCAGCCCTGTTGTACAACTGAAACCCTCCAACCAAAAGGACAAATATAATCGCCAGGCCTGGTTCGGGTTTAAGACCCTTTTCAAACCCAGACTCAGACCTAAACCCACAAGACCCTAGAAACCCTACACACCCCACACCCAATTAAAACGGCTCGCGCTACAAACTTCCCTCCCAAAACCACAAGGGCGCCGGCCACAGCGATGGACTCAGCCAACGTAAAGGGCTCCTGATAAGCGACAAAAGGGTTTCAACCCCAAAAGAACCCAAACCCTAAACCCTTAATTGAAGATTTGCTTCAGGAACTAGACACTGACGTTAGGCTTCAGTCCCTGAAGCTTAGGGTTAAGGGTGTAGGGCTAAGGGTTTGCTGTTACGTGGCGCAGAAGTTGTGAAGGTTAGGATGCAGACTAGCTTCGACAGCTTCGTGACATGCGAAGATCAGGAATGGGCCAATTGTGGAAGGCCATCTAACACTTTTATCCCACCCAACGCCGTCTCAGGCGGCAAAAACCACCCGAAACCATTCCTTGCGCCAGCCCCCCCACCTGTACGGGGCGGCCTGAGCCTTGAGTTTAGGGTTTAGGATTTAGGGTTTAGGGTTTAGGACTAAGGAGTTTAGGGTTTAGGGTTTAAGGGTTAGGGTTTAGGGTTTAGGACTAAGGAGCCTCCGGAGACGGAGAGCCTTAGGATGAACGGAGTCGGAGCCTCAAAAAGAAACCGCTTCAAAAGGAGATTCATGAGCAGGAAACGACCCTAAACCCTAAACCCTAAACCCTAAACCCTAAACCCTAAACCCTAAGCCCTAAACCCTAAACCCTAAACCCTAAACCCTGAACCCGGAACCCTGAACCCTGAACCCTGAACCCAGCCCCCAACCCCCTCTCCACAACAAAAGGACAAGAGAGTATAGGAAAGCAGGAGATCAGCAGCACAGCGGCAAGCCCAGGGTTAACACAAAGTTTAGGTTTAGGGTGGGTTTAGGGTTTGGGGTTTAGGGCTTTAGGGTTTAGGGTTTCGGGTGTAGGGTGTAGGTTTACGGCTTAGGGCTTGTTCTTTTTGCAGCTGACACCTCACATCTGAGGAACCCTAAGGGTGAGGAACCCTGAGGGTAAGAATCTCAGAGTGCTGTGTCGGGTTTTTAAGCGTAGGTTGCCGGGGCACAATGACTGGCTGGTTCTTAGCAGGGAATGAGGGGATGAGGTACCCTACATAATCCCCTAAAGGGTATAGAGATCGGGCCCTCATTCCCTGATTCCCTACTAAGAACCAGGTGGATGAGGGCTTTCGGGACGTTGCGGAGGTTTAGGCTGGCGGGGCAGCTTAAAGCTTCCGCGCTTCAGGGTTTTTTAGGGCTTAAGTCGCCGTCTTCGGGACGCCGAAACCCTAAACCCCAAACCCTAAACCCTAAACCCTGCAATATTGCAGATCTGGTCCTCTGGCGGAGGACGTTTCAGGAATTGGCTGCGCAGTAGAAGCGATTCGGCCAGGGCCTAAGGTGCCAAGCACGGTGCAAGGGTTTAGGGCCCAGGGTTTAGGGGTTAGGGTTTGGGCCCCCAATGATTTGGGGGTTCCAAAAAATAGGGGTAACCTATGGTAACGTTTTGTTTTTTTGGGGGGGGGTTCCTGTATTGATAAGGATTCAAAAATTGGGTATATGAGGGGGCAGGGTCCCACCATTTAAACTTCACCCTGACTGAGCCCGTAACCCTAAAACCCAGGGTTTAGCGTCCAAAACGTAGAGCGGTTAAATGCGGTCAACTCTAGATATGTGTGCAGGTTGGCAGGATTTCTGGGCAGAAGCAACATGATGCTCGATACTCAGCAGTCAACCAGGCGGCCGCTAACAAAACGAGTTAGGCAGAACACAAGGCCGGAATGATGTTTAAGCACTACAAGGAACCCTAAACCCTGAAGGCCCTCCGCCCTCCTTGTAGAAGCTCAAGTAGCTGGGTTGCAGACTAAGCTTCTTGATGCCAAGTCCTGCGCCCACGACTGCTCCTAGATTGCCCAGTGACCTAGGACCTAGGATTGAACAGGGTGCCCTTCTTTGCTGAAAGGGGTTCGTAAGGGAACCTAAGCCCTCCCCCTAAAAGGGGACAAGGGTACTACTGCGCATCCTCGTTTCGTCCATTAAGAGTTGGGGTTCAGCCGTTCGGGCTCCGGGTTTAGACTCTTTTCGCTCCCACGTCGCTGGCGGAACCGTAAAGTAGGCTCTTCATGGTTCATGGTTTTGTCCATGGTTTAACGGCAGTCAGGAGATTCGGTCACTTCTCTAAAGTATGGTCCCTGTTGGGGATACAATTATGAGGCGGCCCCTAATATTGGGCGGAACCCAAAAAACGGACCACAACTTTGAGAACTGACCGAGTTCGTAAACCCTAAACCCGGAACCCTGAACCCGAAACCCTAAACCCTACGTTTATTCAATCCGGCCTTGGACAGGAGCGCAGAGAGCTTTCCGCCTGGCCTCACCACTACCACATGCGAGCCCGCGACGCGAGTGGCGATGGCTAAAAAAAATTGCGCTTGCGTAGCCCCTGCAGCTGGAATCCTAAACCCTAAACACTAAACCCTCTCTCTCTAAAACCCTAAACCCTAAACCCTAAACCCTAAACTCTAACCTCCGTTTCAAGGCTGTTGAAGTGGTGCAGAGAGACGCTGAGGTCGAGGCGCAAGCATGGCCAGCAACCTGAGTGCCTCCTCGGGCATCAAAAGGTACGCAATCTGGACCCTACATGGTTTAGGGTTGAGGTTTCGGGTGAGGCACTTATAACCCCAATTATATCTGTACTTAAAACCCCCCCCCTCCAGGCCCTTCAGTAGGTTACAAGTAGACTGATAGTTGGGGTGTTCAATGCCCTTGAACCTCCAAGTACAAACCCTACACGGAGAGGCTCCCTTACTATCCCTAAACCCTAAACCCTAACACTTATGACACAAACTGGGGGGGGGGGGGGGGGGGGTGAGGTGGGGTTTGTGTGTGTGTGTGTGTGTGTGTGTGTGTGTGTGTGTGTGTGTGTGTGTGTGTGTGTGTGGGTGGGTGTGTGTGTGGGTGGGTGGGTGGGTGGGTGGGTTGGGGTGGCCCCTCTTTGCAAATCGACTCACACTCGAGGACTGCCCAAAGACCAAGCAAGTGCGAACTTACCAAATCATAATAATCATACTACATGTACATAAACATATATATATATATGTACTTCCATGTATGCAAGTATGTATATACCATATTACTATATTACTGCAACAATATAATATTCTGTTCTAGTATTCTCTGATATTGCATTCTAGGAGTCGCTTTCTCGTCACATCACATGTGTCCCTCGGCATGTCCTTCGCCACGTCAACTCGAGACTCTGTCGCCTCTGCATTCTCCCCAGCCTTGCAACGGCAGGGTTTAGGGTTTAGGGTTTAGGGTTTAGGGTTTAGGGTTTAGGGTTTAGGGTTTAGGGTTTAGGATGGTGTGATTGAGGGCTGCAGCTCGCGTGGTTTAGGGTTTAGGGCTTAGGGTTTAGGGTTTAGTGTGTAGGGTTTAGGGTGCAGAACAGTCTTGTTGAAACACCTGCCGAATCAGTTCCGGCCAAGCCCAGGATGTGAAAACCCCTCCCGAAATCCATGACCGGAAAGCACAAACAGCTGGCTGGTTTAGGGTTTAGGGTTTAGGGTTTAGGGTTTAGGGTTTAGGGTTTGGGGTTTGGGGTTTGGGGTTTAGGGTTTAGGGTTTAGGGTCTAGGGTTTAGGGTTTAGGGTTTAGGGTTTAGGGTTCAGGGTTCAGGGTTCAGGGTTCACGAAGCTGGAGCAGCCGCCTCGGCGTGTGGCGCAGACCTCGAGATGTCGCGTTTTTGTGGGTGCGGGGCTTATAGGGAGGCGGTGCAAGTGCTGATCCTTGACCCTCGGGGCTGGAGATGCGCATGCCTTGCTTAGGGTTTAGGGTTTAGGGTTTAGGGTCTAGAGTCTAGGGTTTAGGGTTTAGGGTTTAGGGTTTGGGGGTAGCGAAGCTTTCTCACAGACACTCCAGCGCCTTTCTCCGAGTCTTCTGGCCGCCCACGTTAGGCAAACTGCTTTGCGGCAAGGGCGAACGCTAGAATCAGGGGACAAAGCAGCGAATAGCCTGGATACCTGAGATGGGCTTTCTACTTCATGGTTGGGATAATATTAAAAAAATGAACTTTTATTCCTGCTTGGGTTTAAGTACCCTTGAGGGTTTAGGGTTTAGGGTGAGATGGGCTTTCTAGTTCATGGTTGGGATGACATTAATAGTTAAGCTCTTATTCCTTATTGGGTTTAAGTACCCTTGAAAATGCAAAATGTTACCCCAACTATGACAAAGCTTTCATGGCATCACCAGAGGCAACATCAGGACACAAGCCTAGACTGGCTTACCTGCAGGGTTTAGGGCGTATTGGGCCATGAGATATGTTTTAGTGGAGCTTCCTAACACGTGTCCACTTCCATCTTCTGCAGGTTGGGCGAAAAAAGGTGTATAACACTCAATAATCCGATCAAAAAGCTGTTGATAGACTCCCCTGATAGACCTACTTTCGGGTCTGCTTTGACCCCGGAAAACCGACGTACATTTGCCTAGATAGATACACGCGCACATATATATATATATAGTTGTATGAAAATATGTATACATCAACAAGCACATCTCTCTCTCTATATATATATATATGTATATGTATACGTGTAATCAGAAAGAAGTGCTTTTCGAAACTTCATACGAGCAAGTTGCTTGGTGCGATGTCCACCCAGAGGAGGTGGAGGGCCACTGTACCCACTTAAAGATGCGACGAAGCAGTCTGGACACCACCTTTCAAGGGGCATCAAGAGGGACCCCTACAAAGGAGCCTTACACTTGTTCACCATTGTAATCCCTATATACACCTTATATAGTCCCTATACACCTCGAGATAACCCCTAAGGTCCCTCATAAGGGTCGGTTTCTGTTTACCAGAGGGAATCCACGAAACCTCGCAACAGGGGACATAAGGAAACCTTTGAACATGAGCTTCCAAGCCGCTTGGACACCAAGTCGAAACCTCCTGCAAGCAGGGGCCCCCTAGGAAAAAAGTAGATTGAAGAAGGTTTTTTCTTGCCACCCGCCTAGTTGAGCCCAGTTTTCTGGGTTTAGGGTTGAAATTTAGGGTTCAGGGTTTAGGGGCCCCCACGATTATAACTAGAGTTCTAAGGACCCTAAACTGGGTTATAAGGATCCTAACTTCGGTAAAAGCCCCTTGGGTGTAGTTAGTGTAGTAAGGGGCCCCCTCCTTGTAAAGTTTGGCAGATTCGGAGACGCGTGAGGCTTAGGCTTTGAGACGGCCTGTTGTGGACCTAAAGTTTACGGTTTAGGGTCTTTATGTAACTTGGAAAGAAGCTATGGAAGATCTGGCACGTGATGCAGTAGACGGCCTTCTCTCGGTTTTCTGTATTGCTTATACAGAGTCCTAGAAAATGGCTTCTGGTTTCATGCTTCCAATAAAGTCGTTTAGCAGATGTGTTAAGCTCGATGTCTTTCGTCGGCATCAGACAGTTGAATTACATTGCAACAATAACCATGACTTGGACCTTCCAGCAGGTGTTGGGAACCTTGTCACTGCCAAACGCCTGCCGACGGGCCAGCAGGTATGGAGCACGCAACTTCCCCGTCCTGAACTTGCGTGGATAGCCTCGAACTTTTGAGTCACATCCATTCCAGCATTGGCCTCCAGAATCTTCTCGCCGCCGGGGTGCTTCGAAATGAAGTTGGAGATGTCAATGACTTGCCCGTAAAGTGCAATAAAGTAGTCCCCCGGCTTGCAATGCCTGGCCAACTCTTCCATTGTGATCCTTGGTAACCCAGTAACCATCTCATCATAAGGGCCACCCTTTTTTTGGGGGTTGCTTATTTATAAGGGAGCCTCGAACCCCCCAACAAAAGGCAAAAGGGTACCACTGGGCTGCCAAGAATCATCTTGTCGCTCGCAAGCAATGGGGCCAGCTTCTCGTTCTCGTCTGGGTCATGCATCTGCTGCTTACTCCAAGCACCCACCTTGGTAGCCCAATACCCATATTATAATAAGGGCACCCTTTTTTCGCTGTCTACTCTACAAGGGGACCTTGAACCCAACGAAAAAAAGAAACAAGGGTACCACTGGGCTACCAAGCCACCGAGAGTTCCCCGGTCTCTTTGAAAGTGTCCCAGTCTGCCCAGGTACCGAAAAGCTTGTCAAAATTCAGGGGGAAGGGAACACCATAGTTACACTCAAATTTCGCATGGTGGAGGTAGTGAAAGTCGGAACCTCCCATAGGCTCGTCCATACCAGAATGGCCCCCGATAGGTGCAATGTCTGCGTGAAACTTGGTGTAGAGGAAGTGCAGGGGGTGCACGGCGATGAGCAAGGGTGGCAAGGTTGCCTAGAGCCCGGAGTAAGCCAGCAATACAAAGAAAGGGCAGGCTTTGTGGCTTTAAGGGGGCTTCTAAGGGAACCTAAGCCCCAAACGTAAACATGGAATGAGGGCTCTACTCTGGGTCCTAGTAGCCCTAAACCCTAAACCCTAAACCCTAAACCCTAAACCCTAAACGGTCCTAGCTGCACAGGTGTAGTAGAGGAGGTGCTCGACAGGATGCATGGAAAGCCCGCTCCAGGGACCAGGGTTGTAGGACTTGTGATGGAGCGAGTGGACGTGACGATACCTCGGTTGGCCCTCTGAAAAGGTTTAGGGTTTAGGGTTTAGGGGTTTAGGGGTTTAGGGGTTTAGGGGTTTAGGGGTTTAGGGGTTTAGGGGTTTAGGGGTTTAGGGCTTAGGGTTTAGGGTTTGGGGTTTAGGGTCAAGAAGACGGTTCCTAGATTCGACCCCTCTAAAACGGAAACATTAGAGGAATGTCAAGGGCTTGCCTAGACACAAGAAGGCGCCCAGGTCGCCACTCAAAAGTCCGTTATCTCGATCCCACCAGGGATGCATTCCACGATGGGCGCCTGGAATGGAGAGATTGGCTTAGGGTTTAGGGCTTAGGGCTTAGGGCATAGGGTTTCGGGGGTTTAGGGTTTGTTTGACCAGCAA